TTAAGTCTGTGGTATTCTGTGGTATGGCAGCCTGAGTAGCCTGACACCTACAATAGAACAAAGCTAAGAATTAAAGCAAACTTCTTAATTTTCTTGTCAGAAATCCAGCAAGTAAGACAATAAAGTAAGATCTTTAAAGCGTTGAAAGAAAAAACTGTCAATCCAGAATTCTATATTGAGCAAAAATACCCTTCAAAAATGAAGGAGAAATAAACTTTCTCAGATGAACAAAAACAAAAGGGGCCTTGGCCAGGTGGCTCAGTAGGTTGTAGTGTCATTCCATACACCAAAGGGTTGTGGGTTTGATTCCCAAGCAGGGCATGAATCTAGGTTGTGGGTTCGATCCCTGTTCTTGGCATGTACAAGAGGCAACCAATTGATGCTTCTCTAACATTGGTGTTCTTCCTTTCCTTTTCCTTCCTTTCTTCCTTCTATCTATCTATCTACCTATCTATCTTTTTCCCTTCTTCTCTTTCTAAAATTAATAAACACATCCTCAGGTGAGGAAAAAAAATGTTTTTTTTTTTTAAAAAGGGAATTTACTACCAAAAAACTTACAGTACAAGGAATGTCAAAATTCTTCAGGCAGAAGTAATAAGATAAAGGTTAAAAACTTAGACCTATGCAAAGAGACAAAGAGCATCAGCCCTGGCCGGAGTGGCTCAGTGGACTGAGTGCCAGCCTGTGAACCAAAGGGTCAATGGTTAGACTACCAGTCTAGGGCACATGCCTGGGTTGTGGGCCAGGTCCCCAGTGTGGGGCGCATGTGAGGCAACCACACATTGATGTTTCTCTCCCTCTCTTTCCCTCCCTTCCCCTCTCTAAAAAATAAATAATCTTTTTTTTTTTAAAGAAAGAAGTAAAGAGCACCAGAAATGAATGAAATAAAGGTAAAATATAATCTTAAGCTTATTTTTAATTACACTAATATATAACTCTTCAAAACAATAAAAGTTACAAGGTACTGGGTATTTACATATATAGATGCATGAAATATATGACAATAATAGTGAGAGACTGCAAGACAAAGATGTCTTCTCCCACTACTCTTACTCAGCCTTGCACTGCTATACCTAGCTAGTGTAGTAAGGCAAGAAAAATAAATAAAAGCCATACAGATTGGAAAAAAAGAAATAAAACCGCCTTTATTAGCAGACTTGTTTGCATATGTACAAAACTCCAACAAATCCACAAAAACCTCCTAGAACTAACAATTGAGTTTAGCAAGGTCACAGGATACAAAGTCAACACACAAAAATAAATTGTGTTTCTACATACTAGCAATGAATAAATAAAATCTGAAATTTTAAAAAGATATCATTCACAATAGTACCACAAAAAAAAGTACTTAGCTATAAATCTAACAAAATATATATAAGATCAATGGAAAGCTATAAGACAATCATGAAACAAATCAAAGATCTAATAAATGGAGAGATACCATGTTTGTAAAGATTCAATGTTGTTAAGATATATATTCTTCCAATTTGATCAATAATTCAGTATGATCGTGAATAAAATTTTAGCAAGATTTTTATACTTACCAAGAAGATTGGTCTAAAATTTGTATAGGATGGCAAAAGAACTTGAATAGCCAATACATTGTGAAAAAGAATAAAGTGGGAGAATTCACATTTACTATATCCAGGATTTTCTATAAAGCTACAGCAACCAGAGACAGTGTGGTACTGTTAAAGGAATATACATAAAGATCAGTAGAACAGAATAGAGCCCAGAAGTAGATCCACAAATATAGTTAACTGAGTTTTAACAAAGGTAAGAAGGTAATTCGTAACTACTTGGTATCAGGAACCACTAAAATTATGTAGCACACATACTGGGAAATGCTACTTTAGAACCACTTATGTCACTTTTAAGGGAGGTAACTGAGCTGTATCTAGAGATTTCTTAGACTGACTTAGCAAATGATGAATTATAGCACATTGTATATGCCTTCTGCTCCATGGACAAACTTACCCATTCAGGGGATACCCAGTCAGCCTCTTTCTCCAGCCAGTCCTACCATTGCCTAATAAGCTCATAAACAAAGTGGCTGAGGTGGCAGGGATGGAGGTTGTACAAGGGCTTGGCAACACAGACTTCCACTCACCAAGGTTGACTGGCTATGGTCACTACTGACTGCCCAAACGGCTAGCAGTCTCCAATATGGCACCATTTTCTGGGTTGACCAGCAAGCTATTGGGTGGCAGGTTGATAATATTAAACTGTTTCTATCATAGAAGGAGCAGTGTTTTGTTCTTACTGGAAGAACTGGAAGAATGTTTATTCTGGATATGGATTTGCTTTTCCCCTACCCGATGTTTCCGCCCAAATTACTATCCATGGACTTGCATGGTCTCATCCGTGGACTTACACAATGCTTATCCACCATCAAGGTACTTCACACAGCATGGCTTCTGATCACAGAACTCACTGTACAGCAAAAGAAGCATGGCAATGGGCCTATACACATGGAACTTACTGGACTTATCATGTCCCCTACCATCCCGAAGCAGCTGGCTTGACAGAATGGTGACATGGTCTTCCAAAGAATCAGTTGCAGTGCCAGTTAGGCAGCAATACCTTGCAGGTGTGGGGTACAGTTTTCTAGAAGGCTGTACATACTCTGCATCCACATCCAGTATATGATACTATTCTCCCATAGCCAGGATTCATGGGTTCCAGGAATCGAGAGACGGAAATGGGAGTGGTAGTACTTACTCATGATTATCTCCAATGACCCACTAGTAAAATTTTTGCTCCCTTTTCCCACAACTTTAAGTCCCATCAGTCTAGTGGTCTTGGTTCCAAATGGGGGGAATGCTTCTACCAGGAGACACACAGTAATTCCACTGCAGTAGAATTTAAGAATGCGACCCATTCATTTTGGGCTCCTCTGACTCTAAATCAACAGGCGAAAAGGAAGTGCTGGCTGGGGTACATGATCCTGAGTACGAAGGGAAACTGGATCACTGCTCCAAGTGAAGGCAAGGAGGAGTATTTCTGAAATACAGGAGACCCTTGCAGGGGTGTCCAACCCATGGCCTGCAGGCCACATGCAGCCCAGAACGGCTATGAATGAGGCCCAGCACAAAATCATAAGTTTACTTAAAACCTCTTTTTTTTTTTTTTGCTCATCAGTTTTCACTAGTGTTTGTGTATTTAATGTGTGCCCAAGACAACTCTTCTTCCAGTGTGGCCCAGAGATGCCAAAAGGTTAGACACCCCTGCTAGAGTATATCTTAGTATTACCAGGCCCCGTGATTAAGGTCAATTGAAAACTACAAAAACCCAGTCCACACTGGACTACTAATGGCCCAGACCCTTAGAACTGAAGATTTGGGGTCGCCTCACCAGGTAAAAAACTGCAACCAGCAGAGGAGCTTGCTGAAGCAACAGGGGAGAGTGGGTAGTGGAAGAAGGTAGTTATAAATCTAGCAACTCCCACTTGACCAGTTACATAAATGAAGACTGTAATTGTCATGAGTATTCTTTTCTTATTTTGCTATGAATATATATTTGTGTGTGTGTGTGTGTATATATATATCTTTCTTTTCTTTCCTCTATTATTCTCTTATTATGCAACATAAGATGTATTGGCTTCATATCATGGTATTTAAGTAGTATTCATTTTACATCCTAATATTTAACTTATGGGATATCAAGAAGAGTGACGTTTTGAGTGACGTTTACGTCACTCAAAGACTTTACCTCTTCTTTTGGGGAAGAGGTTAGTGCATTTCCAGGGTAGCTGTATCATGCTAGACAGAGTTATGATATTGTTATTGCCTTTATTTGAAGATTAGTTTGGTTAAAGGTGTATATGGATGCCAAGTTAACAGTGGGTGGACTTGTGATGGTTAATTTTATGTGTCAGTTTGCCTGTGCCACAGGGTGCCCAGATGAAATGTTATTTCTGGGTGTGTCTGTGAAGACATTTCTGTATGGTATTAACATTTGAATCCATGGGCTCAATAAAGTAGACTGATGTCCCATGCATGTATGGGTATCATCCAATCCTTTAAGAGCTCGAATAGGACAATAAGGCAGAAGGAGGAGGAATTTGCCCTTTTGCTTCCTGCCTGAGTGCTTGAGCCAGGACATTGGTCTCCTGCCCGTGAACTGGAATTATATTGCTGGCTTTCCTGAGTCTCCAGCTTCTGGGTGGCAGATTGTGGGGCTTCTCAGCTTTCATAATCACGTCAGCCAATTCCTTATATAAATCTCTTCCTATAGTATATATATTTATACACACATATATCTTATCCTTTCTGTTTCCCTGGAGAACCCTAATACAATTTTCACTTCAAATCTCTTTTCTATGAAAATGCCTCTAACTCTAATGTCTCCAAATCCCCACAGGTCTTGCCTTGCATGACCTTGTTGATCTCCTCTGGTCTGTGACCCACAAAACAGCATAGGCTCTACTGCCCCATCTCTCACAGGGTTGTATTTTAAGGCCTTATCTTTCCAAATAGAATTTAATAGCCTTGAAAATAAGAGTTCTACCTCTTATTTCTTCTGTGTGTATTTCCTTCCATTGTTCATTTATTCACTCATTCAACACACTTGCTGAGTTCCTAGTATGCTCCACACACTGCTAGCCAATGCAGTCGTCAGCAACATCAGACTGCGCCCTCTACTCTTACAGAGATTACAGCTTAACTAGAGATGCAGACACAAATAAAACAACCACAGAATAAATGCATAATTAAAGCTTTGGTAATGCTTTGAAGGAAATATATTCAGAGGCAGAGATAATCTAACCTATCCTTGGGTGGAGAGAAGGGTGGGGGCAAGGCAGGAAAGGCTAATCTGGAAGAAGTCAAGATTGATCTAAAATGTAAAGAATGAGGGTTTTCACAAAACAGAGAAAAAGGATGGTGGTGGGAACAGAGTATTCTAGACAGAAGTTCAGGGAGGGGAAAGTACACAGGGCTATCACACTGCACACAAGCTGCCTCAAGAGACAGGCAGCTGACCAGACACTTGCTACGAACCATTTTCTTCAGTCTCCTCTCTTCTCGTTTTTTCTCAAGCTCTGCCTCCTTTTCTTCTGCCTCTCTCTTCTGACGCTCCTCCTCTTGGGCCTTTAACTGGGCCTGATTAAGACCAGAATTTGTAAAAATCAGAACCCTCAATTTATATGGAAATACGATCTTTTAAGTTGAGGCTGAGCAAAGTTAAGTATCTGCCAAGGTATCCACCCTGTCTCTGGAAAAAATTTTGCTGTTTGTGATAAAAGTAAAAAACCCAATCAACAGATGGTCAGTTGCATAACTTGAAAGTTTCTACAAGGAATTCTCTTCTCCTTGGGAAGATGAGACTAAGCATGAATAAGACCATTAACTTTTTTTATCATAAAAGGATTACTTTCTAGTTCTTATTTTCATCTGTGAAATACTAAGGCTGAAATATATATAGTATGGGAAATTTTTTTCTTTCATTTCACAGAAAACCCTTCAAACCTGGTAGTATTATCTATTTTTTTTTTAGTAGACACAAAATTTACTTCTGACAATCCAAGTTGAAACTTCAAAAAACTTCAAAGCCCTTTGCAAACTTGTCAGGTAGAACATCTACCTGTAACACATTAGTCTTGGTTATGTGTAAATCTTCCACTCTGCTAGTTCCCATCAACTTTTGCAACATTTGCTGCTCTACTAATGATCATCATCACGCTTTCTCCCCCTCATTTTTCTACAATTGTCAGAGTTCAGGCCCGTAGGCAAAAAGCCATCACCAAAGTTGGTTTAACTCCATTGTCTCATTAGGCTTAAACAAGCTAGGTTTAATTTTTTAATAAAGACCTAGGCTAATCCTTTTTTTGCCTCAGTTTGCATTCTTGGTTTATTACCAGTTTATCTTCTTCTTGTTTTTTCTTCTTCTCTGCCAAGATCCGCCTACGTTCAGCTCGCTGAGCTGCTCTCTCTTCCATGGCTAGAAAATGGTAGAGTTCCAACGTCAAAAATATAAGGAACACTGCAAAACAAATGCCTCTATTCTTAGTAAAATTTGGTGTTATTAAGGTTTTCTTGTAAGTCAAGTATTCACAATCTCAGAAATGTTTTATATGTATAACATTTACATAAAATATAAATATATAAATTTTAGGTGTGTCTATATATACATTCTCTAAAGGTTAAAGAACTATAATCCCTTCCTCAGCAATGATGAACAATTTGCAGATTATGTTTTTATTTATATTTCTATTAGAGTAACTGTTTACTGGTTTAAATAAGATAACGTGCTAATGATAATTTTAGTATATGAAACCCAGAAACCAGAGTTTTAATTTGATAATTCCTTTAATGAATGTATAAAACTTTACTTGTATCTAACAAGTACTTTGAGAATAGAATTATTCCTGAAATTGCATTGATCCTACTAATTTTTCCTAAATCGCTATACATACGTCTGTATATGTAATAAAAACAAGCACAAATAAAGTTTAGGGTCACGATGAATATATTTTAATTTAGTTTTAAGGCTGGGATATCCAGATGGGCAGGAAATGGAACTGTACTAAGCGCTGGGAGGGCTGGCATCTGAATGAATCTGAGTGTCAGACTCCTGTTCTTAACAGTCTATTAAATACTGGTCCAAAAGAAGCAAGTGCACAACATGGTCTGATGCGATGACTGCCACCCATCCGACCGTCCCAGGAAGAGGAGCATGGGTGGGAGGAGCACCACGCCCTGCTCACCTACGTCAGCCAATATCTACTTTCTATTCCTTGTGCCATGCTACAGGTGGAGAAAATTTAACTCCAAGTTTTAAAAAGATTAATAAAAAAACGACTTACAGATACTAAGTGTCTGCTTTGCTGGAGAAGGAATAGTGGGCGTGTCACAGATAGCGGGAGTGAGGCCGTCTTTAGGGAGGCAGAGAGGATTAAAGGGAGAGCACTCTGAGAAGCGGTCTCGGCACTGTGCCCTTCCTCTTCCTTTCTGGAGCTGGTCACCAAAGACCACTTGAAAAGCAGCCTGGCTGTTTTTTGATTGTCCTCAGTGTTGGACAGAGATGGCATAAATGCTGTCCTGGCAGAGTCAGTGAAAAGATTGCTCATTCCTTCACTAACAGGAGGAAGCTTTATGTATCATGTCATTCAGATGACATCAGTTCTTGGTGGGGCAGCGATTTTGCCACAGGAGAAAAATCAGATTTACCAAACACAATATAATTGTTGAAGTGCCTACCATATGTGGAGTGTGTGACTGTAGTGAAAACAATTAGCAGATTCATTAGGTGGGTTCTGAAGAATGCTTCTCATCTCATAGTATTGTTTGGTTTAAATAACAATTTCTATATTATCAACAATCCTATAAATTAAAATAGGACGTTTATAAATTCCATTACTAAAAGCCTATCATCGAGGTACAACTCATTATAAAATGATGTACTAACTTGATGTAAACTGCTGTGAACTAACCAATATTTTAATGTTAATGAAGTACAATGATAGATGATCTTTATCAGTGTTTATTCTTAGCAGCTACTCAGAGTTTCCTCATGTGTATATTTGTCCCATTACTTTTTTTTATCACAATACAAATCTTAAGTTACAGGAAAATGATAAACCTCTTAGCACTGATTCTTTGGAACTGGCTGGAAAGGCCAGAAAGCTTGGCAGAAGAGGCAGGGAAAAAGTCATGGAGCTTCTCTGGTGCATCCACCTCTCCCGTGTCTACCCCCTCAGACCGACCAGGTTTTGCCAAACCTCAAAACCCAAGAGTTGTCAGTGCAGCACATTCTACCCCACAGGGAAGATAACCACCACAAAGGCCAAACCAAGACAGCTCTGCCTTTAAGAATGGGATGGGGTGTCATCAGCTTCTTGGGGCTTCTTCTGGGTCCAGAAAGATCATTTTGGGAGTTACTTCTACTACCTTCAGTCCCAGGGGAAGCAACAGACGAACTGGAAGAGGGAAAAAAAAATTCAGACCCATAACCAGCTTTGTTCAAAGCCTTTGCACCTGAAGAACTCAAAGAATTTAAAAAAAATAATTAATCCTTCCTCTCTGAGATAACTACGCATTACTACACCCACTAGAGAAACTGGCTGGGAAGGTTGAGTGACTGGCCTGAGTCTACAGAGTGAGTCAGGCACTCATTCCCATCCGGGTACTTCGAATCTGTAGGTGCTGCCCACTTCTTATCCTATCATATATCACAAAAATTGAGTGGACATCTGAAACTTTGTTAAATGGGTTACTAGAAACATAGACTCTTATTCAAGGCTCCAAGATATTTACTTTTATCTAAAAAAAACAATAAATTTAGGCTAGATAATTGGTCCCAGGGACTGCTCCATTTGGACCTGATATGCTGGCTCCTTGGCACTAAACAAAATCAGAAACCCAAGAATCAAGTTAGAGCAGGTAAAGTAGTTTTCTCTCTTACCAGAGCTCCTTAGACAAAGGCAGCTATGATACAACAAATGCTAACTATATAAGTGGATCCTTACAGGCAGCCACTTGCCTTAAATACCTTTTTGTGTCTCTCATGGACCAGTCACAATGCCTGGGTTTCTTTGGTCTGAGAGTGCACAGTGTGAAAGGACAGACCATGCAGCCTGGAAGCTAGGCAAAGTTTAGAAGCCCATCTACCGCAAAGTGGAAAACTAGAAATAATGAGTCCAGGGAGTGTTCTGATACAATGGACATACTTTGAAAGTGCCTTGTGGGTTCTCTTTGGTTCTTCTTTGCAGTTTGACCGCAGGCAGCTCTGTGCGTCAATCACTGCTGCGTCACGCTCTGCTGCCCACCGAGCCTTCGCCAGCCTCTGGCTTTCCTTCAGCTCCAGAATCGTTTTGTGCTGTTCTTGAAGTTTCTTCTTTTGCTTCTCAATCAGCTGTTGCTGGAAGGCATGGCGGCTGTGGAAATGACTCATGCAAATGGGTTTTGCTTTCTGGCTGGTGGTTCTGAGCTTCTCGTTGCTGTCAGGCTGTGGGGAGGGCTCGACATGCAGGGTTTTGTGAAGCTTGTTGTCAGATGTGTTCAGAGGGACATTCTGGAGGGAAACTTGCGAGATGCTGTCTGTTGGTTTGCCTAGGTGGGGGCTAGGCACACAACCACTGCTCCCTGAGGGAGGCTTTTCCCACAAAAGGGGTACTGCAGTCACCTGAGAGAGAAGGAGATGGTATATAGCTCAGCTATTGAAAGGACTGTGCTGACGAGAGCCAACTTCATCTAGTCAGCATTACTCTGTTCAAGGGCACAGTTGCCCTGCACCCCAGCCAGAGTTGCCCTGTGCTCCTGGCCTGGTTACCTCAAAGGCTACCAGCCTTGGCTTTGGAGCCACTCTGAGAGTGGCGCTGCTGGCCAGGAAGACCGGGTGGGAGGGTGGCTACAGCTGTATGGACTACTGACATGGGCCAGGACAATGGAAAATGCACTGCTATAATTTTCTATTTAGCATAGTTCATTTGTGAATTAGGCAAGATACTCCAGATATATGTCACAGGAATTTTAATCTACATGAATTAACACCGAATTTTGCAGAAAATTAAAAATTCTGTAGCAAAGGATATATTCTTTCTCAAGAATGTTGCTAAACTAAGGAATACCTTTACTAATTAATAATAGCTCTTTATAATAGCTGCTTAATAATAACAGCTCTTTAATAATAGTTCTTTCAATGACTCTCTTACCATCATAAAATTAAAGTCAGAGTATTAATTTCAGGATTAAGGACTGGATTAAAGTTTATAAACTCCAGTTATTTCCAAACAAGTTATATGTGAAAAATATTGGCAAACCCAGGACCAAGAGACTAATAGCTGCATCACATAAGAATAATGTTACCTAATAGTATTTTATATTAGCATATGGCTTAATAGTTATTAAATCTTTATCATTTAAATCTCATTTAACAGATTGAGGTGTTACAATTCTATACAGAGGGGAAGGAACCGAATTTTTAATCCGAAAAATTTATTCTGGCCAAAATATTGCCATAGTTAAAATGTCTCTTCTAGCACAGTAAGATGCCATGGTCTACGGCCAGCCAGTTTTGGTTCTTCCATCTGCAGTGGTACAAGGAGAAAAATAATGTGAACTGTCTTATGTATTTTAGAAGCTTCTAGTTCTAATGGGGTGCCATACTTAGGTACTCAAAGATATTTTTCATGATGATAGAAATATTTCTGTAGATTAGCTAAAGTGAAAGATGTGATACGTGGGAACTCTGACATGTTAAATACTTTTCAAAATAACTTACTTCAAAAAAAAAAACCTAGTTCAGAAATGTCAGTGGACATTTCTTCATGACAACCCCTGCTTAAGTCATTTAGCATCAAGGGGGGTACATGTTTTATGCCCTTTTAAACTTTGTGATAATGATATATTATTAACCCAGCAAGGCTGTAAAAGCCTTGAGAATAGCAACAAGATTTCTTTTGGATCATGGTAACTTTTTCAGGTGAAAATAAGAGAAAGAAAGAAAAGCTTACTGGTACAGACTGTACTTGATAGAACAGAACTGAACAATCTGGCTTAATTAGAGAAAACCACCTATTAGCTAACTGGTAATTCTGAAAGATTTCAAGGTATAATATATGTTCTTGTGGTACATGAATTCCTATGATTGTGTAATTAATGAACATCTAACTAAAGATTTTATATTTTCATTTGCTCATGTTAGGCTCTACACTCTAGAAAAGATCACAGTTTATCTAGTAACCAATAGAGTTTATTATAATCCTGTATTTTCATTTGCTCTATTTTTTATGATATTATCCTTTCCTGATAAATTCTTTCGTTTTTGATTTCAGAGATTTGGAGACCTTTTTTCTTGAGTCTAAATTATATACACAGATTTCGTAATTTTCCCATTTTACAGAGGAAAAAATACTTTCTGCTGACTTCTTTTTTCATTTAAAGATAATAACAGTGGACCTTTGTAAGGTAAAAGGTTCCACATAGTTATTTCCTAAGATAGAAGACTCCCCTGGGTCCCAGTGGAAACAAATTTATCTGACTGACATAAAGGTAGATAAATTGCCTAAGGGAAGGGACCAAGATGTTACATAAGTGCCAATAAGCATCCTCATGATCCCCTTTTGCTGAGAGACAAAGGTTAAATGAAACCGGCTGCTTGCTACAGTCGTCAGGGTAGAAAGCAAGGCCGGGACCCTCAAGTGCCCAGTGTAACTTCACACAGCTGAGTTCAGTACTTGGCAGCATTCCCTGGGGGGAGGGGCGGGGGGCGATGAGCGCACAGGACCTCCTCTGAAAGGCTCTTCAAACACAAGTGCAATTATGAAAGAGAAAGCCTGATATGATGGCCTTTACTAAAAACTTAACTGTGCATAGTACCAAACACCATAAATAAACCAAAAAGACAAATGAGAGAATGAAAAGAATATGCAAAATACATAATAAAGACAACAAATACTTTAAAAAATATACAGAGCTCCTATAAATAAGAAGATACATAACCAAGTAGAGAAATGGACAAAGGCATGAAGAGACCAGTCACAATATATCTATCTTACTATATCTATTTTCATATTATATACACATATGTATATGTATGTGTATATAGTCAACGAAAAAAATCTTTAACCTCAGAAGTAATTTAAAAGAGGATCTGAGAAAGATGAAAATATTTTACCTGTTAACTTGGTAAAAAATAAAAAATATGTTATCAGGCAGGAAAATAGGTGCTTCTTTGGTACAGTCTTTCTGGGATGACAATTTGTTAATAGTCTTTAGAATGTGCACTCTATTTTTAGGTATTTATCCAAACTAAAGCAGTACGGACATGTGCAAAGACTTAGCTAAAAGGATGACCAGTGAAGCTTTGTCTGCAATAGTGGCAAACTGTAAACAACTTCAATGTCCTGGAGCAGAGAAGGAAGTAAACGGAGTCTGGCTAACAGGTCATGACAGAGTACCAGGCAGCCATTGCGATATGATGGCACAGAACTTGGTCGTCCTTAACCAGTGGGTATTCATCAGGTTCACCTGTGGAGCTTTAAAAACATGCAGGTGCTCCACTCCCAGAGACCCTGATTTAGTGGTCTGATTCTGCAGTGTGCTCTCAGCTGAGAACTACTGTTGTAGATTTATTGACATAAAAAAAGTTTTCATGTTAAAAAATATACATTGTTATTAAGAAGAAAGAAACATGGCTTTTCATTTCCTGTATTATGGCAGTCTAATGCCCTCAATGACTTGACTGAAGAAAAGATTAAAGCTAAATAAAATAACGAAAAGAAAAATTTGTATATGCCCGAAGAGAAAAAAGACAAGATGCCTATACTTCAACAAGTTATTGCTGATTATCCTCAACTGATGAAATTACAGGCTATTTTTATTTTTTTCTCTGCCATTTTCTCTTACTAAACTGCTACAATTAATATATATTATTTTTCTCACTAGAAAAATAAACACTTAAACATTCCCTTCATCTAAGTCACAAGGCTCACTTAGGAAAGAAATGTTTGATAATCAAATAGGAGTTCACAAGCGAGTAGACAATTCTTTCTATTATCTTTTCCTGAAGGAGTCTTTCTCTTACTAGTTTTAAATTCCCTGTGTTAACTTCCTACTAAGTTTCAGCTACACCAAAGTTTATATGTGATCATAAAAAGAAGATTCAGTTCAAGAAAATGAACACTGACTGAAAGTTGACCTTTGGACATTATAGCAGTTCTCACCTTTTAGATGGCCTAGGCGAGGCAATCTGACAGTGGCTAAGAGCCCAAGCTACCCACACGCCAGCTCAAAACCAAGTGATTAATAAGCAGGAAGACCAAGCAAAAGAAACACAACGTACCTCTCCTATAGGTGGCTCCTCCACAGCTGTTCCCTCCTCAAGGGGACTGATGCCTGATGACCGGTTCGCACTGAGTTTCCCTAGTGATACTGCCATCAACAACTCGTTCATTTTCTTCCTTGTTTCCCCCTTTGTTAGAGCCAGCTCTCTCTTCAGGATCTCTGCACGATGCCAATGCTGCCATTCGGTAAAGTGGTGTCGGAGAACTTGTTTCCGATTGTACTCAGCAGCTACTTGGTGTTTTCTAAGCAACAAAGCACTTCCATTAAAAAAAGAAGCCATTGACAACTTGTTACTTCATAATATAAATGGAACACAAATCCAGAAGAGTCCCAGAAATGCTCCATTTAGCTCCAGCTTATTCTTTTATTTAAGCTAAATGGAATTACTTTATAAAATTCCCCAGTGGAAAAGGTGTGCTCATAGAAGGCATTGGCACTTCAACCTCAGAAGACAGAGTGACAGTTCTTTTCTATCATGTCACAAAGATATCACATTTTTTGATGACCATTAATAGTTTATGAGGGCTTTTTGGAGGGGAAGTAGCAAAAAGAATAGGTATATAAATAGCTACTTTTTAAAAGATGAATGCATGAGGGAGACATCCAGCTATGCTCGGAAATCTAAGGAAGACAGAAGATTGGGAGAAAAGGGAAGGAACAAAACCAGCGAATTGTCAATAATTAAGTGTAAGAATCCAACTTATAAAAGTCAACATGAAACCAGGAAGGCAGATCTTAGGAAAGGAGGACTTATTTGGGGAAAGGCTCCCTAAAGAAGGACTCATTTGCAGACCTGAAAACTAAGTGAACGAAGGATTGCCTTGGGAAGGTAACTGCCAACCACCACACACACGTGAAAGGCAGAGACAGGCACTTGCTCTCACGGAACTTATTCACAGTCTGGTAGGGGCTGTCCCAACCCATTCTCTCCCTAAGGAAGAGCTCCTGTGATTCCCGGACGCTTCAGGAACGTGACGGGACGTGACTGAGTGCAGTTATAAGCTGCCAGCTACATGCCCTTCCCACAGGGGATCCCCAACAGCAGGCAGTCTGGAAGCAGCCGGTGGAGAACTGAAGTGTAGAGTTCCCTGAGCTCTGTCCACACGCGGATGGTTACCGTCCCTGGGAAGTGAGGCATAGACTCGGAAATTATGTCCCATCGTAAACGGGTCAGTTGAGAAGTTTAAAACCCAATATTGTTCAGATACCTACTTGATTTTACCTTGTAAAGGAAAATCAAATAAGTTCTCTATAACACTATTCACATATCCATTTCTGTTAAAAAAAACATAATGCTTAACTCTCCTCATGGACTTTTGGGGATCATAACAAAATAGAAGTCATACAGTTTTTAAGTCAATGTGTCAGAAGAACATTTTTATAATTCTTAAATACTTAAGCGACTGTTTTAAAATATATATTTTATTTCTTTATTTTTAGACAGGGGGGAAGGGAGGGAGAAAGAGAGGGAGAGAAACATCAATGTTTGGTTGCCTCTTGCATGCCCCACATCAGGGAACCCAGCCTGCAACCCAGGCATGTGCCCTGACTGGGAATTGAACCAGAGACCCTTTGGTTCACAGGTCAGTGCTCAATCCACTGAGCCACACCAGTTGGGGCACTGAAGTGACTCTTAAATCTTTTTAATTGCCACTTACAGTAAGAAAAAATGTTACACTGTGATTCATTCTATAAGTTTACATTTGCATGTATGAAGCAAAACTATATGTAACTGAAACAAAAGTTTCACCAAACAATATCTACTCTATTACCAGATATGTGCTTGGTTATTTCTGTTCTAATATGTTCTGTTCTTTAAAACACACAGCTCATCTTGAGCCTGATTTCAGGACCCACTACTGGGTTAAAACCCTTAGTCTGAAAAAGACTACTCTAGGGTCACGGACTTTACTCTGTGTCAGAAGAGTTGGGTGAAACAACCAATTAGTGAGAGTAAAGTCGACTGAAATAATGAATTTCAGGATAAACACTAATGGTACCTCTACTAACAGCATTTTTTATTACATTTAATTGCTTCTTTTTAATAATTTAATAATAGGTATTCAATAAATACTTAGTGACTGACTGATGGTTTTTGTAATGAAAGCACAATATAGGTACAATAAACATTTGCATATTATTTTACTTTGAAGAAAATAAGTATCTAGCCTTGGCTGGTGTGGCTCAGTGGATTGAGCACTGGCCTGCAAACAAAAGAGCTGAGGGTTCTATTCCCGGTCAGGGCACATGCCTGGGTTGTGGGCCAGGTCCCCAGTAAGGGGCACACGGGGGGCAACCACACATTAATGTTTCTCTCCCTCTTTCTCTCCCCTCTGCCTAAAAATAAATAAATAAAATATTTTTAAAAAGAAAAGAAGTATCTAAGAGAAGAAAAGAAGACTGAATAACCTTGACATAAAAATTATAGAGGAAATAAAAATAGTAAGTCAGGTAGCAACACCAGTAAGAACAAAGCCCCCAAAACTCTATAGCACTTTAAGTGAAAATCATAAATTTTCACAGAACTGAGGATGTCCATTGCTCTGATTAATGTGAAATTTGATCTACATGAATCTGCTCAGAAGGGAGAAGTATATATTACCTGATGTGTTATTTTCATGTCTTTACAGTATAAACAGTCAAACAACACTGAGGTTTTGACTGTCAGGGAAGAAATTATTTGGACACAATAAAAAGGCAAAGAGAAAAATATTTTTGTAAGTATAACAAAAACGCTACACAGTAAGAAAGTAGGTATAAAAAATGCATGTTCACTACAGTGCTTAGAGCCCACTCTCCAGTGGTTATGTGGGCATCTTGAATATCCATTTAATAGTCTACATTCCTGCACTGAGGTGGAAGGCAGAAACCAAAGCCAGGGATCCAGAGACCAGGTTGCTTCTACTCCTACACCCTTGTAATTCACTTTAGCAGAGTGATGATGTTCCAGATAAGCCAATTTCTACACTTTCAAAAAGATGATACCAAAAGACATAGGTATTTCTAAAAATGAAAAATCACTTAAATTTCTTAAAAGCTCAACCAGATGTGACTTGCTTGGGTACGCTAACCCAAAGAAATGGTTTCAGACATATTTCCCAGATAATCATAAAATGAAGGAGAGAGTTCCCACATGGAAAACATCCTGTCCCAATATGCTTCCAAGCCGCAATCAGGGAATTTCTGGCAAGAGTATATAAATTTATAAATTGATCATCACAATTATATAACTGCATGCTGACAAAAGCTGTCTCTGAAGACCAAAGAATATAAAATATATTCTTTAATACATGTAAAAGAATAAGGCTTCTTATTTAAACCTTACAAAAGATTTAAATATGAACCATGATTCTTAAAACAACACCTCAAATGATACTTAGCTGTTGGTGTGTGTTGCAGAATGGAGAGGTCAGAGGAGTCACTATACAAGGGACACTGGGTAGTGGCCTAAAGTTTCTAAGGTTCAGATTCCTCCCCAAAATGATGTCACCGCCCCCCTGCCAAAAAAGCCCTCTATCCTACAGGAATCTTTAATAAAAGAACCTGAAAAGTAGGAAACAAATTCTCATATAAGTTAGTAATACTACCTCAGGACAATTCTAGATATCTAAAGAATGTCTTGAATTTTTTAAAAGTGATAAACGAGAAATAAATAACCACATACTAGTGATCTGATTGAGTGCAGAGATCTGATGCAGAACACAAAAACAGCAATGATGCAAATGCAAGAATAGGAAGGAAAAAAGCTTATGTATTCAATAACGCAGCAGGCACCCCTCAGAGAAGAAGTAGAAGATAATTCTGTTTTAGAGCCTTAAAGTGAGCCAGATGACGCAAGTCTCGTCCTCCTGCCTCTCTGACAGACACATCGGGAGTTTTACCAGCTTCAGATGCCCCCCGGTTTCTGGCCTCCGACCTGGATACCCAGGTAAGCGTGGAGGAAGGGCGGTCGAACACGACTGACAAAGGCGCTACAGAAACGGGGACGGACACTCTCAATCCCACGGACGTTTCTTGGTTTCTGCTTGCAGCAAATACCTTTGAGCATTTTTTCCTACTGTTAATATCCCAACCTTCTTTGAACAACATCTCCCAACTTAATATCCTAAACCAATTTCTAGAACAAAGAACAAGATGCAGAAAGCCAGGGATTTGTAGGAAAGCAGCACAATGTGTGGTTTATGTCTAATAGATCCTTTCTTCTCATGTTTTTAGCATGACTTATCATTTGTAAATCGCTACTCTCTCTTTTCTGAAACCATCTATGAGTAAATTACAGTGTAACTGACAAACATGGTTGTCTCAGGGCACCATCACCCAGATGCCACTGAACACAGGAGCTGTGTGCTACAGGGAAAAGTATCGGGCTCGGAATCAAAAAGGCCAGGACCCGGCTCAGGGCTGGCTGCTCTTGACTCCATGGCCTTGGGATGCGGTTTCCCTCTCGGACCTTCCTGGTAGTGTCTGTAAAATGGGGGGCTGGATTGGAGCGTTCCTGCTCTAAGGTATGTTTGCTCTAAAGTATTATAGTACACATTATTATAAGTTAAATATTTTCTATCTCTTGCAGTTTTAAAAAAATGTAGTACCCATTCTAAACATTTAAAAATAGACACCTGAAAATAGTTCACAGATATGAGACAGAAAGTTCTGAGATCTTAAAAAAAAGGCACATTGTGTTATTACGAAATCCCCTTTTAGTGTTTTTATATAAAACAATTTAATTGGAATGGCATATCTAGTTCTTCAGATCTTTTTTTCTACAAGTTTCTTCTGGCATGGAAATTTCACAGGCCACTTCTGACTTGAACACCTCAGTGTCTACTCCCTCTGGGCCCTCACCCACGCCGCCTCCCTTTCAGCGCACGGCCACGCACCGGTCACCGTCCAGCAGACCCTTTCTCAGCCACTGCTTTTTCAGTCAGACTGTCATCCCACCCCTCACATCAGTCACTAGGACCTGAGAACTTGGAAATGAATTATGGAAGAGTTCTCTACGTTGACCTTTTTTTTTTAAATGAAAATTTCTCCCAGTATACTGTAGAAAGCAAAATTGACTAGATCACTCTTCTGCTTAAAAACCTTCAATAATTTATCTTTATTTACAAAAGAATAACTAAACTCCTTGTCCTGGCATTAAAGGCCCTTTGCAAGTCGATGAACTTTACAACCACGTGCTTGATGGTCTCCAGCCTGTCAGGATGGCAACACTCCATGCCGCCACCTCGTCTCCCCAGTTCCACTAGGAACATCCCACTTACTGTGCAGAGCCCAGCTCGAGACCCAGCTCCTAGATAGCACCTCTCCTGGCGCTCTGTGGGAGCCTGCTGGGTCATGGCGACCCTTCCCTCTGCTAAGGTTTCCTCAGGAGGGGATGCATTACACAGTTTATAATGATCCTCAACATCTCTACTGTTTCCAGATCTTGTTTCCCCCACAAAACAGTGAGCTCTTGGAGGACAAGGGGCCATGCGTCATTCTCCTCTGTCGTCCTCAGGCCCAGTGCTGTCACAAAGCTGTGCAACTCCGGGGGGGGGGGGTGGGCTCTCTTCCACATAACAATGCTTTCACATACCATTTGTTTAATCTGTCATCCTGAATGAGTAACAGAGTTGCTGGTAGAGAAGTGAGCAAACAGAAAAACATGAACTGCCCTCTCCCCAGTAAATAAATGGTTCCTTCTAAATTTATGATTTTGGTTCAAGAATGCAAAGTTAAATTTAGAATGAAAAGAACAAAATGTATTTAGTTTTAAGTTGATGAAGCAAAGAAAGTTTTATTTGAAGGCAAATTCTGTCATTCACAAGAATATGAGGGAGTTGATACAAAGGTGTCAAAACCTCTGTATAAGATGAGGAACAAAAGATGGGGGAACAGCAGGAATCACTCTTGGCAGGTCTGCCCTCTCAGACTGATGTTCCCTGTGTCCCTAATTAATATTCTGAGTGCAGACAGTGATTTCTATCAATGTGAATTGCTGGCATACAAACCAAACTCTGTCTTCTGAATTGTAAAATGGTCCAAATGCAATGCTACTACATCAGAGGACAAGGGAAAAGCATAATATTCGCTTCCTTTAACAAAGGAAAGCATGCACATTAGTACATATTAATCAAATCATTTTGTACTTATGGTTTTCAGTTAAATTTCCCGAGTTTGGAATGAAACACAGGAAAACAGTGATTACCACATTTATAAGCAGATGAGATGATTCCAGTGAACAGCACTTCTGGAGGCCATTTCTGGATTCCTCAGGAGGAAAGCTGTCCTAAACACGCTAAAGGGGTTTTCACGGTACAAGGATGGTACCTGTTTTCTTCCCTAAGGTCATTCTCCATGGCTCGTGTCTCTCGCTGCAGCCTCTGAGATCGCGTGTAGTCTCTCCAGACCCTCAGGACCTTCAGCTGAAACTTCCAGTCAGAAAGGGTCCCAGCCTTCCCCAGTTTAATCCGGTGATCAAGAAGCAGCTTGTGCCAGGCAGAGAAGTAGCGTTTTTGACACTACAATGGAAACATTTGGAAAATCATCACTGATCCGCGCCAGTGTTTCTAATAGGAACTAGAGCCCTCCCTCAGACTCTCCCCTCACACTCTGACAAAAGCGGGAACTGTTGTCCTGATGGAAGGACACTGGGCACAACTGCGTTATGCTAATAATTATGAGAAATGTTCAAGCCATGAAATTGCGACACTCTCAGCTTTGTGACAAACTGAAATAGTCAATCCTCATTGTTAAGGCCCCAGTCCTATGGGGAGCTGGAGTAATAATTCCAATGAAGATCTAAGTTAAAGGACTTGTTTCAGCAGCTTGAAAGACCTGCTGCCAACAGGATCTCCCCTGCCAGGCTGTCTGGGAGCTTAAAATACCAACCATTTCATTCATTCCTGCTACTAACTCTGCCGACCATTTTGTTCATTCCTGTTACAGACTCTGCCAATGTCCTGCACAAATGAACATGGGAGATTCCATGAGGATGGAATGGGTTCTCTGGTCTCTGGGAACAAGAGAGGTAAAAACAATAGCTTCAGCTGGGCTACTGGTACCTGTGTTAGGGCCTTGGCTGAACAGGCCTAGATACTCAGGCTGCTTGCTCTCTTCCACTATGTACATGTGACAGCAAATAACACAAGGTTTATGGACCCTGAGGACATCCTGGTGAAGCACTCTGGCCCTAGTCTTAGAATATCTCTGAGATCCAGTCCTGATCTACGAGTGTATCTTGTCTCCTCACAGCAAACTTTATGTTCCTAGTACACCAAATTACTTTCATCTCTTGGCCTTGCACCAACCATGCTGTTTCACACTTTTCTATCTATGGTCATCCTAATTCTCCATCCTTTTCTTCCCTCTCTCTGCCTGACCACTTCAGGAGTCACTTCTTGTAGGGAGTCCTCCTGTTCCCAACTACTCTCCCAAATGTTGGCCCTGCTCCACTGTATTCCAGAGCAATTTATGCTTTCTTCAGTCAAGACACTCAACACACTGTATTATAATCATGTGTTTACCGGTTTTCACCAGACTGTGAACCATCATTCTCTGGAAGGAAGAGACGGGGTCCCACAAATGGGAATGGCAGATCCGGGAGTGTTACCTAGTGTGGGAAGCACTAAACAATAGAAAGTGACCTCATAAGAAGTGCTTTTGTGGGAGATATGAGGGATGGCCGATGACCTACATCAAGAACTTGGTAGCCCAACCAAGGTCAGCCTGATTCACTGCTTCTTTCTCTATAAAGACATTTATCGTTCCCTACTTCAACATTTAGTAAGCATTCACCACTGTATTTGAATTTGGGAACTTTGAACAAAGTTGTTTAAGATATAGATTTTGAGGTGTCATAGGGAGAGAAAATATATAAATTAAAAGATCTGTAATGCAAGGGACATTATGCTAGAATTTTAGAAATAGGCTGTTTAGCCAGAAATATTTTCTATGTAAGAAGCCAGTGATAGTCCCATTTAATCAAACTACAAAATCTTTATTTCCCATCAGGAGAAACCACGTAAAACTTTAAAAAGCCATTATTTCCTTTCTGTTATGTCAAATGAGGGCACATTTCGTGGACTTTTACCTCAGATTCCATGCAAGGAGGGAGAGATGGCAGGAGAGAGGAAGAGAAGGATGGAGGGGGGAGACTGGCTGAATAGAGGGCATCCTTCTGTCCTAACACGGAACACCCACAGCTGCCAGGTTGAGCAGATTATGCTTTTTGTATTATTATCCCACAAAATACAGCATGACAAAAAAGTGTTCACTTGTATGCCAGTCAGAAGAAAATATTGACCAGATTCACTTAAAAGATTCTTCTTGAATGACTTAATTTTTAACTCCTGGCATATTTCTAATGATGAAATAGCACAAACATAATCCACTTTGGCAGCAACACTATTAATAGTGTCCTTCTTGGATTTCTACATTCCTTTTCTCTGTGAAGTTCAAAGCACCTTACATGTACTATTTTATTAATCTGTAGACCATGATTACAAAATGAATACTGCACATATCATTGTAATTTACATTATGAAGTTAAACTTCAAGTAGAGAAGAGTTAACGACTAAATTCATAAAGTAAAAAGTTAGTGGTACACCTAAGACTAAAACTGGAACATTCTGGCATCCCGATGACCCTTAGTCTCTTAGGCAAAAAGTCTCGCTTCAAAAGGACGGCACGTTCTTTGTTTTTTGTTTTTGTTTTTCCCTCACTGAAAGAGAAAGAATTCAATATAAAGCTTGCTAAAACTAGCAGAAAAGCACTGCTAGAATATATAGGGGGAAATTTTGAGTTGATAAATTCTACTGTTAATACATTTCTTGAAAAATACTTCAGTTTAGATTTTGAGAGCAAAATGATCAGTTTTTTAAAATATATTTTATTGTTTATGCTATTACAGTTGTCCCATTTTTTTCTCCCCTTTATTCCCCTCCACCCTGTTACCTCCTCCCACCATCATTCTCCACCTTTAGTTCATGTTCATGGGTCATACAGATAGGTTCTTTGGCTTCCCCATCTCGTATGCTATTCTTTTTTTTTTTTTAATTTTACTTATTTATCTTTAGAGAGGAAGGGAAGGAGAGGAGGAGAGAAACATCAATGTATGGTTGCCTCTTGTGAGTCCCCTGCTGGAAACTGGCCTGCAACCCGGGCATGTGCCCTGACTGGGAATCGAACCTCGATCGTGTGGTTTGCAGGCCTGCGCTCAATCCACTGAGCTACACCAGCCAGGGATCGTATGCTATTCTTAACCTCCCCCTGTCTCTTTTGTACTCACCATTTATGCTTCTTATTCTCTGTACCTTTTCCCCAATTCTCTCCCCTCCCCCTGCCTGCTGATAACCCTCTGTGTGATCTCTATTTCTGTGAATCTGTTCCTGTTCTAGTTGTTTGCTTACTTCATTTTTGTTTTTTTAGGTTCAGTTGTTGATAGTTGTGAGTTTGTTGTTATTTTACTGTTCATATTTTTTAATCTTCTTCTTAGATAAGTCTCTTCAACATTTCATATAACAAGGGCTTGGTGACGATGAACTCCTTTAACTTGACCTCATCTGAGAAGCACTTCATCTTCCCCTCCATTCTAAATGATGCCTTTGCAGGATAGAGTAATCTTGGATGTAGGTCCTTGCCTTTCCTGACTTTGAATACTTCTTTCCAGCTCCTTCTTGCCTGCAAGGCTTCTTTTGAGAAATCAGTTGACAGTCTTATAAGAACTCCTTCCTAGGCAACTGTGTCCTTTTCTCTTGCTGCTTTTAAGATTCTCTCCTTATCTTTAATCTTGGGTAATGTAATGATGATGTTTCTTGGTGTGTGCTTCCTTGGGTCCAACTTCTTGGGGAAGCTCTCTGAGCTTCCTGGACTTCTTGGAAGTCTATTTCCTTTGCCAGATTGGGGAAGTTCTCCTTCACTGTTTTCAATTTCTTGCTCTTCCTCTTCTCCTTCTGGCACCCCTATGATTCAGATGTTGGAACATTTAAAGTTGTCCCAGAGATTTCTAAGCCTCTCCTCAATTTTAAAAAAATTCTTGTTTCTTCATTATTTTCTGCTTGAATGTTTATTTCTTCCTTCTGCTCCGAACCATAGAATCCCAGTTTCCTTCCATTCACTGTTGGTTCCCTGTACATTTTCCTTTCACTGTTCATACCCTTGACTTTTTCTTCTATTTTGTGACCATATTCAACCATTTCTGTGAGCATCCTGATTACCAGTGTTTTTGAACTCTGCATCTGATGGGTTGGCTAGCTCTTCATCGCTGTTGTATTTTTTTCTGGAGCTTTGATCTGTTTTCATTTGGGCCATATTTTTTTTTGTCTCAGCACATCTTTTATGTAGTAAAGGGCGGAGCCTTAGGTATTCACCAGGGTGGGGCAACCCCCCTGGCTGTATTGTGGCACGGTATGTGGGGGAGGGGTCAGAGAGGAAACAATGCAGCTTGTTCAACTCTCTGCCAGCTTTCAGTCACTTCCCCCACTACCCACAAGCAAATCTGGCCCTTCTGGTGCTGATTCCCGGGTGCCTGGGTTTGTGTACATTCTAGGACCCTGAGGGTCTCTCCAATGAACTTTCCTGTGACGCTGAGAGTTTCTTCTGTGACCTCGATCCCCACAGATTTTTACAGTCAGAGGTTTTGAGGCTTTACTTCCCCATGCTGGAACCCTAGGTTGCTTGCTATGTCTCATTCCCCAGTTGTTTCTCCCAATTTATCTGCACACAAATGTGGGACCACCTGGTCTTCCAGCTACCACCTTCCCACCAGTCTTCTCCACCCTCACTGTTCATCTCTGCCTCTCCTACTGGTGTGGATGAATGTTTCTTCTTTAAGTCCTTGGTTGTCAGACTTCCATACAGTTTGATTTTCTGGTAGTTCTGGTTGTTTTTTGTATTTAAATTTGTTGTTGTTCTTCTTTTGGTTGTGCAGGAGGGCAAAGTGCATCTACCTGGGTTTCCATCTTGGCCAGAAGTCAAAAATGATCAGTTTTAAAGGTCTATAATTCAGTCTCATTAACACAGAAGTTAGTATCAGCAAAGTGACAAACTCATCCAGCAATTGCCTTCCTTTCTGCCTCCTACGGTTAATGTTGCCCCCACCTTTTAAAAAATAATTTTATTGGGGTGACATTGGTTTATAAGCTTATATAGGTTTTAAGCGCACAATTCTATGGTACATCATCTGTATATTGCATTGTGTGCCCACCACCCAAACTGAAATCTTCCATCACCGTATGTTTGACCCCCTGTACCCTTTGCTACCTCCCACCCCCTTGCCCTCTGGTAACTATCATACTGTTCTGTCTGTCTACGTTTTTGTTTGTTGTTTTTCTTGCTTTGTTCACTTGTTGCTTTAGGTTTTATATGCCACACATGAGTGAAATCATATGGTTAACTTTTTTTGTCTCACTTACTTCACTTAGCATGATATTCTTAAGATCCATCCACATTGTTTTAAATGGCAGCTTTCTCAAAGTCAGCTTGCTATTGGTTTTTTCCTTGCCTACTCAAAAAAAGCAA